CCTCTCCCGCTACCCCATCTTGTGCTCTCTCTCTCTCAAATAAATAAATAAAATCTTTAAAAAAATATATATATATATTTTCTAGTTTTATTGAGAAATAATTGACATACATCACTGTAGAAGTTCAAGGTGTACATCATTGATGGTTTGATTTATATCTATTGTGGAATGATTACCACAGTAGGTCTAGTTGACATCCATCATCTCGCTAAAATACAATTAAAAAAAAAAGAAAATTTCTCCTTGTGGTGAGAACTCGCAGGATCCACTCTCCCAACAGCCTACCCGTATATCATAGAGCAGTGTTAACCATAGTCTCTGTGTTGCACTTTACATCCCCAGTACCCATCTGTCTTATAACTGGAATTTTGTACCCTTTGACCACCTTCTTTGCATTCCCTCTCCCCTCTCCCCTGCCTCTAGCAAATAAACTTCTAAGCGTAATGCAGAACTCATTTATATGACTTTATCATTGAACTTTAGTTTTGGTACATTTAGATTAGACTTTCTCATCCCCAACACTGTTGGAATTTTGACCCTGGTAATTCTTTGTTGTGGGAGCCTGACCTGTGCATTGTCAGATATTTAGCAGCATGCCTGGTCTTCACCTACTAGATGCCTGTAGCACCCCCTCACCCCTGGTTATGATAACCAAAAATGTCTCTAGACATTGCCGAATTGCCACTGGTTGAGAAGCACTGATCTAGATAACACCATCTTTTTGTTGTTGTTCAGTGAGGGAGGGGCAGAGGGAGAGTGTGAGGGATGGAATCTGCTAAGTGTGGTGGCCCAAGGTGGGGCTGGATCTCATGACTCTGAGATCATGACCTGATCCGAAATCAAGAGTTGGTCACTTAACCGACTAAGCCACCCAGGTGCTCCCTGGAGAACACCATCTTAAAAAACATTTTATTTTGGAACAATATTAGATTTCAGAAAAGGTGCAAATACAGTTTTTGTATACCCTTCACCATGTTCTCAAAATATTAACATCTCATATAACTTGACATAATTTAGTGGGTTAATTAAGACATTTAATATTAGTATAATACTGTTGACTAAACTACAGATTTTATTTTTTCTACTATATCCATTTAATGGTCTAGGATCCAATTCAGAATACTACATTGCATTTAGGATAATAGCCTTTTAAAGGGAAGTGTTTAAAGAATGAGTACTCATTACAGATGTGGCTGGACATGGCAGGCTATGCTTTACATTGCTGCCATTTTTTACAAGTTATGAATTGTTCATGAGATTTTACTGTCATGTCTAAAGCTCTTAAGTTTTCCAAAGTGAGGAAGTATTGCACAGTTTGTGCATCCATAAAAATATGCTCCTCAGATAAATTACCTTTATAGATATATCCAACATAGAACTAGTTTTATGATGGGAAAGTATATGCCACTGAATTCCATTGTCATGAAGCTGGCAGGCAGTGGAAATAGCAGGATATTTTAGGCTATTCACCTTGTAATCAGGGATAGCTGAGGAGATGGCCGTCAAATCAAGCTCTTGTAAGCTGGACCAAGGTGTTTTCCTGTCAAAATTGGAATGATGGTTGACTTTGATCAGTTTGTAGAAAGCACAAAGCCATGGAAAGGATTTTATTAAATGTAAATACCTCTAGATATTGACTCACTATTGAAGGGAAACCAATTAGACATTTACATGTGAGAGGTTATTATACATCTTGGGGTACTAGGGAGTTCTCCATGTATAGATCACATTATGTTGCTTTCTGTCCCACTATAGACAGAGTGGGTAAAATGCAGTCCAGACAACAGTTTATAAATCGCAATTTCTTAATGAAAGGGAGCCTTCTCCCCTGGCCTTGAGTTGAGACAAACATGGACTTAAATCCTGGCTTGGCCAATCTGTTAAACATGTGAACTAGCACCAATTTCTTAGCTTTTCTGACCCTTTGTTTGTTTCTTTTTTTTTTTTTTTTAAGATTTCTATTTATTTATTTGACACAGAGAGAGCACAAGCAGGGGGAGCGGCAGGCGGAGGGAGAGGGAGAAGCAGGCTCCCCGCTGAGGAGGGAGTTTGACGTGGGGCTCGATCCCAGGACCCCGGAATTGTGACCTGAACCGAAGGCAGACGCTTAACCGACTGAACCACCCAGGTGCCCTTGACCCTTAATGTCTTTAACTCTGAAGTGGGCATCTGTTAAGGAGGATTAAATATCACAATAGTCAATGCTCACACAATAGGAAATGCTCAAGAAATGGTAACAATGAAATTATTTGTAGGGTACTCCTAGGAATGCTCTGTCTCCCGTAAAATGCTTTACAGCTTTGTTTTTCAACTGTACAAATTTGTGGCAGTTGAGAATATTACAGAACCTGGTTCAACAATTAAAATAACATCTTGTTTACCATAAAGAAGCTCTTCGAATGACTGCATCTCCCTTATCCTTTTCTTTCAGAGGCCCCTTTGCCACCAGCAGTGCCCGAATGTCAGCGCTGGGAGAAACTGCAGAATTCAAGATGTGTTTGTAAAATGCCCTATGAATGTGGGTAAGCTCTGCTTTTGCTTTTTTAAAAATTTTTATTTTATTTTATTATTTTTATATTTTATTTTTATTTGTTTTATTTTATTCAAGATAAAAAAAAGTGTGTCAATAGATGCTAGTCTCTCTGTTAGATCGAAGGTGCTGCTGACCAAGGGTTAAGGATCTTTGTTTGCGTCTTAGCCTGGCCCATCTACTGTCTGTTATTTGCCTGGGTCACCCCAGGCCTGGCAACCAGCGGCGTTAAGCAGTGTTCTATTCCGTCTAGAGAAAGGCTGAAGGACTCGGGCACTGCTTGTTTTATACATGAAATGGGGCAAAATGAAAACACTGTCACTCGAGGATTTAGAGCTTGAGGAAATTAGGGTTGAAATTCCCTTGAAATATAAACTCTTATGCAGTGTTCCAACAGAGATAACAAGTAGCTGCTTTTCCGATTCTCGAAATGGCTGTGTCTTGAGATGGGCATTATAAGAATGCCACCCAGCTTGCAATCACTCTGCTGTAGGTGGATAGCTGAAGTAGGTACTAGATGTCTGGGTTATGGTCCTAGTGGGACAAGGGAGTCTGACTGCCTTAGGACAAGAGGAGCTTTCCTAGCGGGACTATTTATAGACATGTGGGCAGAGGGAAGGAAACTGCACGCCAGGGGGCAGTAGTCCCTGACTGCCAACAGCCAGGGTGCATATCCGTGCCCGGGGCCTGAAGCAGTGACAAGAGGGGCTTTTATGCAAAGCTGGAGACAGAGAAGACTGTGCAGATGGCAGCTGAGGAAGAGCTGAGTCCCTCATTTTAGGAACCTCAGAGAACGCCCCCCCCCCTCCGCTGCCCTGGAGTGAGCCAGGGCACTAAACATCCCTCCAGTCTCCTGCCATTGATCAAATGCACCTGAAGCTAGAGGATAAGGAAGTGGTTCATAGTGTCAGCCTTCCTGGCAGTGGGGCGGAGAATGGAGAGTGAATCTGGAGAGGCAAATGGGAGAGATCTAAGCCCCCAGATTTATTGGTCATCTTTAAGTTTGAATCAAAACATACGATTACTGACCAATTACAGTTGACCCTTGAACAACACGGGGGTTGGGGTGCCGAACCCTTCACACAGTCAAAAATCCACATACAGCTTTTGACTCCCCCCAGAACTTAACTACTGATAGCCTACTATTGGCTGGAAACCTTACCAATAACATAAATATTTTTTTAAAAAAGATTTTTATTTATTTATTTGAGAGAGAGAGAGGGTGAGAGAACCCAAGCAGGGGGAGTGGCAGGGAGAGGGAGAAGCAAGCTCCCCGCCGAGTCAGGAGCCCGATGCGGGGCTCGATCCCAGGACCCTGGGATCATGACCTGAGCCGAAGGCAGACGCTTAACCATCTGAGCCACCCAGGCGCCCCTGTGGCAGTATCTTACAAGAAGTAACTTCTTTCGAGAAAAATATAGCCCAACAGTGTAAATTGTAGTGGTCGTCCACCCAGGGTGTTCTGACTGTGGTGGTATTTTTTTATGAATCATTGTTGACTTTGATTCACTTTCATCCTCTTTCCAACTTTTCTGATTCATTTACTTTATCTGTAGCCTGCTGTTTATAGACGTGGTGTGAGCTTTCTATCAGATACTGATAACAAGGTGGCTTTGCCAGGTCTCTGCCCTTTGAGCTGTTCTGAGTAGTTCAATTTAAAGCTTAAATAAGCAGATAAAAGAAAGATACAAGGATTTGTTTTTGCGATGTAAATAACTCCAAGTAAATTTAGCTCTTGGTATTGAAGAAAATATTAGAGCTAAATATATATAAAAATAAATATAAACTCCATCTACCATACAAAAATACTTTGTTGTCTAAGCGTTCACTACAGTAATGCCTTCCTTATCTATCGACATTCAGGAAGGTGTTTGTTTTTATTAGTGACCTTTCCAAAAAGCCGAATCTCACCATTTTAGCATGCATGCTTAAGAAACAAAAAAGTAATATATTTTTATAGAAATATTTCTAAACTACTTTGTAAACATCAATACTTTAAAAAATCCCATTGATTATGTTAACTTTGTTTTCGTTTTTTGAGAGACAATGAAAGACTAAGGAACTGGTCCAGGTTAAAGGAGATTAAAGAGACATGGCAACTGAATGGAGTGTGTGATCCTTGGACTTTGGAGAGGGAAAAAAAGATGTAAAGGGCATTTAGGGAACAGTTGACAAATATTGTCTATGAAATAGATAGTAGTATTGTATCAATATTAAAAATCCTGATTTTGATAACTATACTGTAAAAATAAATCCCATTGAAAAATACAATTTCATCTTCTCTTGAGGATTTGGTCATCAAGTGTTGGACAATGCCATACAGGCCTGCTGGCCTGGGAGGACCTAATTTCTGCAGTCAACAGTCCCAACAGACTACAGTCTCCGAGTGTGTGATCTTTGCTGATTTTCTGCCTCCTTCCTGCTTGTCAACCCACCAGTGTCCTGAGCAGACCTTGCCTTCTCTTCTAATTTGCTGTATCTGATCTGCTCTAGATGAAACTAGAGCAACATGAGACACCTAAGCTTGTAAAAATTGTGAGCAAATAGGAGCAAAATACGTTCATTTTGAAGATCTGAGGAGGGTGAGCCCCAGGCATGAAGGAGATCGAAGTTTCTGCTCCATCTTTTTGCTGTGGCTGGTAACATCGGAGGCCCTGAGCTCAGAGCCTCTCCTTTCGCTTCTCATCCTCCATTTTGAAGACTGAAAATCTTCTAAGTAATGTAATTTTAAAAATTTGTTTCAGATCCTCCTTGGATGTATGTGCTCGAGATGAGAGAAGCAAAAGGATACTGCCTCTGACAGTTTGCAAGATGCATGTTGTCCACTGTCAGGGTAGAAATTACACCCTTGCTGGGAGGGACAGTTGCACTCTGCCTGTCCCCACTGAGAAAGCCTGTGGTGCCTGCCCACTCTGGGGAAAATGTGATGGTAAGGGGCATTTCATACTTGTAACTATAACAATGTGAAGGTAGTAGTACTGAGGTTTTTAAAACTGGGGGTTCTAGTTTAGCAGCAAATCCAAGCAGATCCCTGAGGATGTGAAAGTCTCAGGCTGGTCCAAGAGTGAACTGTCCTTGCCCACAGCCTTCCCTGGGGAGCTGGGGCGGGGGGATCGAGTACCTAAGAGAACAAAAACCCATCCTCGATGGTCTGAATGTCCTCCCAAACCCTGGTGCTTCCCATTTCCCCTTCATGGTTCTTGCTCCTTGTATTATCCAGATTATGTATTCATTTTAAAAAATAGACTCACATAAAAATACCTATTTTTAAAAAAGGACATTTTCTTATCACTTTCTTAAAAGGAACTATCGCGTGCCATAAATATTAGGTAACTATAAAAATACATGTAAAGAAACAAAATAAGGTTGTAGAGTCTAGCCAGATGGGGCTGGCAGCTTGAGGGGTACTGCTTCTGTGGGAGAAAGGGAGTTTAAAAGATTTTATTTTTATTTATTTGAGAGAGAGAGAGAATGAGAGAGAGAGAACACCTGAGAGGGGATAGGGTCAGAGGACGAAGCAGACTCCCTGCCGAGCAGAAAGCCCGATGCGGGACTCGATCCAGGGACTCCAGGATCATGACCTGAGCCGAAGGCAGTCGCTTAACCAACTGAGCCACCCAGGCGCCCTGAGAAAGGGAGTTTAGCAAGTGTTAGGGGAGTGTTAAAAGCCTGTCAGTGCCAAGGTGACACTTTTTCCTAGAAGTACTCAGAAGAATTTGAAGACGATAGAAAAAGGAGTTACTTTTTCAGCTCGTGGCTCGAGATTTGCCAGCACTACGTCCCAGTAGCACTTACGATGATCTTAAATAGCACCCTTGCATGGCCTTCCTCTCAGTTTTAGCTACACTACTAAGGGGGAAAGCCTGCGTGGCCGGAGCCAAGTCACTGCCCTCAGTTTCCCCATCTGGGGAAGTTTGGGAGCTGGACTGTGTGATCTGTGAGATCTCTGCCAGCAACTCATGCCCTCCCTGTGGCCTGTACCAGCCGGGCCCTTTTCCTCTCACTCCGGGACAGTTCGTGGCCCAAGCCAGGACATACTGAACCCCAACCACTGGGTCACATTAGGATTGGCAGTCACCAGTGGGCTGGCCAGCACCTGCAGCGCACACAGTGAATTCCTCCCCAACTCATTTCTGGCTTATTTTTACAGGCTATATGGCCTTTTGCGTTTTATGCCCTGTGTCTCAAAGCGAATTGAATTCTTTTCTTTGTCCTTGTTTGAGCCTTGCAGCAACTTGGTCTTTGCTGAGGTCTCCTTATCTGTCAGGGGTTGAGGGATTTATATTCAGTTTCTGGCTTCCCTAGACTGCAGGAGAGAGGACTGGGGAGCCCTTGACTTGGAGAGAGCTGGCCCACGTGGGTCCGGCCAATCGGCCTGGCCAGCCTCAAACCCTGCTTATTCGGAGTGCAGCAAAATGCCTCACTTTCCCGGTCCTACTGCTTTCCCAGGGGGGGCTGGTTGCGGCCCCCGAGGCAGGCGCTTCTAGAGATCTCTGTAGAGCATCGTGATTTTGGAGGTTATGTGCCTGGACTCTTCCCGCTCCACCACGTGCCATTAAGCCTCCGTCGTTTATGTTTCCAGCCCAGAGCGGCAGGTGTGTCTGCAGAGAAGCCTCGGAGTGCGAGGAAGGCGGCTTTCGCGTCTGCGTGGAAGTGGACGGCGTGGAGCAGACGATGAGCGAGTGCGCGGCTGGCGCGCTCAGGTGCCGAGGGCAGGACGTCACTGTCACCAGCACAGGGCCCTGCGCCGCGGGGACCCCGTAGGCTCCCGGGCCCCTGGGCGGAATCCCACAGCCCGCTGTGGCTGAGTTCAAACACACGTAACTGAGCGCTTGAGGCGACTCTGCCCGCCGGGGAGGCCCCTTCCTTCTCCGGGCCCTGCACCGTCTCTCCCCAACTCCCAGCTGCGGGCACCAGCACAGCGCCCCCCGCCCCGCGCCCGGTTCTGCCAAACCCGAATCCAGATAATAGGCCTTCTCTTCTTATGTAAAATGGCAGTCAGGATGAACAACGCACACGAACCTGTGCAAGAGCTGACTGTGTGTTCTTGGACACATTGCTCACTTGTCTGGACCTTGACTTTCTAAATCCGAAAATTAGAGGCTTAGACCAGAGAAACTCGAATCCTCCGTTCAGCCCTAGGATTCTTTAACACATGATTGACCCCACCCATGGGCCAGAACACACTGTACAGATGGATTAGGAAAAAAGGTAAGATGAGAGAGGTTGGCTTCGCTCAGGGAAGCTGAATGCTTAGGGGACCTTGAATGGAAAAAGACAGATGCAATTATCCACCCCAAGCAGCCGTCTCAGGCTTCCCCCTGTGACTCCAGCACCACATGCAGGGATCCGAACCCCGGAAATGTCAGAACCACTGTGCTATCCTCACGGGCACCGTCTGCCTTCTTGTCTGAGCACAAATACAATCCCCTCTTCTCTCTGGGGCTTTTCTCTAGGGCGTGTCAAGCGCAAGAACTGCAATTTGCCCCCTTTCCCCCCTTTTCTTTTGTAGGAAGCGTGCGTTCATGGCTGAGCTATTGAGAGATTGTGTATTTGACAGCACAGTTTTCTCGCATATGAATACATGCTTGGATTTTTCAGGGGGCCACACAGGTACATCAATTTGAGACATTGGCCTTCTATTTATTCCTTATTCATCTTTCTTCAAAACAAAAAAGCAGCTGTGGGAGATGAAATGAGTGGGCTTAAGTGGAATTTAAAATATGCTTTCATATACAAATAATAACTGTACTTTTCCGGTACTGATAAATACATTTCAACAAAAGCTTAGTGAAAACGACAATGATTAAAATCTCATTAAAGATACTGTTCTTTGGAGTTTTTTTCAACTGTATTATGTTTAATTTTAAAGAATGTTTCCACGAAGAATGGCTAATGTGTTCTTTTTAAATATATTTTTACTTTTTAAATTACTTTACAGAGGTATGATTGACATGTAAAAAGCTATACAAATTTAATGTATACAACTCCGATGAGTTTGGGGATAAGTACGCATCAATCAAGACCATAAACATATCTATCACCTCCTGAAGTTTTCCCCCACCTCTCTTCTCATTGTTGTTGTTATTTATTTATTTTATGGTAAGAACACAACATAATATCTTCCTTCTCAGAAAACATTTTTAAAAAGAGTTTATTTATTTATTTTAAAGAGAGGGCTTGCACAGGACAAGGGGGAGGAGCAGAGGGGAAGGGGAGAGGGAGATAACCTTCAGCAGACTCTGCATGCTGAGTATATCCTGAGCGTAGAGCCTAATGTGGGGCTCCATCCCACCACCCAGGGATGATGACCTGAGCCAAAACCAAGAGTCACGCACTCAACTGACTGAGCCATGCAGGCGCCCCCCTTCTTAGAAAATTTTAAGTATATGTTAAAGTATTGTTAGCGATAGGCATTTTGGCTAACACATAGCTACAGCAATGCCGTATAGTGGATCTCCAGAACTTCCTCATCTTGCATAACTAAACCTTGCTACTCTTTGACCATCATGTCCCCAAATCCCCCCTCTCCTCAGCTCCTAGAAGCCACCATTCTACTACTCTTTTCTTTATGAACTTGACTATTTTAGGTTATACACATAAGTGAGATTATATAGTATATCTTTCACTGTTTGCTTTATTTCATTTAGCATAGTGTCCACTACGTCCATCCATATTGTTGTAAATGGCAGGATTTCCCTCTTTTTTCTAAGGCTGAATGACATTTCATTGTATGTATATACCACATTTTCTTTATTTACTCATCCATGGATGGACACTTAGGTTGTTTCTATATCTTGGGTATTATGAATACCTCTTCAGGATCCTGATTTCAATTCCTTTCAGTATTTGCTCAGAAGTGGAATTGCAGATCATATGGTAGTTTTTTTTTTAAATAATTTTTTGAGTAAACTCCATACTATTTTCCACAATGGCCATGCCAGTGTGTTCTTACCTGAAACCCAGGTCTGATTCAGGTCCAGCTTTATATACCACATTGTCCCTTGAATGAAGATTCAGATAGAATATATGGAAGTTACAAGGAGGCAGGTTTTTGGGATGCCTGGGTGGCTCAGTTGGTTAAGCGTCTGCCTTCAGCTCAGGTCATGATCCCAGGGTCTTTCCTGGGATTGAGCCCCACATCGGACTCTCTGCTCAGTGGGGAATCTGCTTCTCTCTCTCTCTCAAATAAACAAAATAAAAAAATACAAGGAGGCAGGTTTAAATAGACTGAAAACGATAGCGTTCAGAAATGTTTGAGGCCAACTGCATTTGTTAGAGGTTATTAGGGAGTTAATTTCTATCCTGGGTAGGGGGATAGGTTTGAAAATGCCAGGACCACATGTAGATCCCAGAACAAAATTGAACAAGTAATTTCTTTGGGAGGAAGAGATCAGTATCCTTCCAATAACTTCTCCTCTTGTCTTACGCTAGTATAGAGTTAAACGTCTACTACTTATGCACCATCACCCTCCTTTCCTAACTAGTACAGAGGATATGGTCAAATTATCAAATGCTATAGGAGAGGTCAAATGAAGTCTGAAAAAAAACAAATTAGCAGATTTGACAACTAAGGTTTGAGAAAGAAGTTTCCCAGAGTTAATGAAGGAAAAGTAAGGGGTTAGTGAAGAGTTGGTGGGGAAGGAAGGAGCAGTGAATGAAGTTGTAGAGAGATGCCATCTTGAAAAATTAAATTTTGTGCCTTTTTTCTTTTCTGAACATTCTTACACTTGACCTTTCCTCTAGTAGAGATCTTCACAGTTGCTTATAAAAGAATTAGGATCATTGCAATGAGTCTGCAAGGAGAAAGTAACTTTCAACATTAAGTCTTTTAAAATGTTTTGAAACTTTGAAAATAAGCTCTTGAACATCTAAAGAGAAGGCTTTGAGGAAAGCCAGGAGGACTGTTTATACCATGAAAATTGACTGCATGGAGAATGTGGTAGGTAGTGTGAGAATTTCCTCTGCTTGCCCTTCCTGCTGCTCGGACAGGTGAGGGTCCTCTGGGTTAGAGTGGGATATAACCTTGGAGGAGAAGGCAGAAAGTGTTGATGTCAAAGTTGTCTGGACCTAGTCGGGGACAGAGGAGGAGGAAGGAATTGGCAGTTGCATTAACCATCACTAGCTTTAGGGAGCTATGTGCGAGCCAAGCCACATCCCACAAGTCATCACTCACAATTTAAAGGGACACTGCAAGTCACGTGGGCAGAGAAGCTGCTTTGGAAGATCTTCTAATCACACCAGAGAGTGTCTTTTTAAAAAAAATTTATTTAAATTCAATTAATTAACAGATATTGTATTACTAGTTTTAGAGGTAGAGTTCAGTGCTTCATCAGTTGCATATAACACCTAGTGCTCATTACATCACGTGCCCTCCTTATTATCATATGATTTCACTTATATGTGGAATTTAAGAAACAAAACAGAGGATCATAGGGGAAGGGAGGGAAAAATAAAATAAGACGAAATGAAAAGTGTCTTCTTATGACACTTCACACATTTCCTAATAACTGACCAACGGAAGTGCTGCTTATCAATGCCATGAGATTTTGTGAACCCCATCCAGACTGCTCTCCCTCCCTTCCACCAACAATCTGGGATACTTGTAATCCCTTGAAACAGAGGGAAGGTTCTTACGTTTAGGTGAGGTAGAGTGGGGGTGTGGAGTGGCAAGTGGAAATATCTGACAAATGACCCCTGGAACTCTGAGTTACCTGGCAACTAGCCAGCTAACCGGTTAATATGATCAAGGGCTCCCCCCTCAGCTGGAAATGTCATGGCTAATCTCAGCTTCATATGAGAACTGTGAACCCATCCTGTTGTTAAGCAGTCACTCAGCGCTACAGGTGCTGGACAGATGGTGTACCCAGCATCCAGGAAACAGGTTGTTATGTGCCTTTACCTTTTGCTTAAGGTAAGTATGTGTATTAATGAATATTCTTGAACCCCATAGCTTATCATCCGTTCTACATTTTCTTTCTATGGATACCAAAATTTCTTACACCCACACACTCACTGACTTGCTAACCCACCATAGGCATTCGGATTATTTCTAATAGCTGGTGGAGGAGGTCATCATGAACTTGAAGTTAAACTAAGATGCTACATAATTTGCGTAGGAAATGAAGTAAGTGTTCAGGTGTACCTACTCTACCTACTCTTTATCTGAGGTTGGAGAGAGAGGCAGACGAGGGACAAGACAAGAGAAAAGAAATGAAAAAGAGAGAGAGAAAGCATTTTTAGTACAGGATTAGCAGAACCGAGCAGTCACATTTGTCCTGCTACCTACCAGTGCGCCGAGATTTTTCCTTCTTGATGGACTAACGTGTATTCACTACTTGTGCTCGAAATGGAATGACCTGTTTCTCTTTCAGAACACTGAGCCAGAAAGCAACCACAGTAGGAGGCAATTTCCGTTAATATCTGAGAAACCAGAGGTATATGCATGCCTTTCAATTACCCTGGTCTTTCAGGCAGCTCACACATTTGGGGACAAGAAAGCTGATGGCATGATAGGACTCCCTGCTGTGAAAACCAAAGCACTTACAATTTGTCTTTTTATTTATTCCTGTCAGACAAAGCTCCAGATTTACACTAAAAACATCAATCACGTAGGGAAATTTGCTTTTTTAAGCCAAGGGTTAACAAGACCAGATAGAAAGACTGTTGTTGTTTGAGAAGAAATGGGATGATGGTGACTAGGTGGATAGGAGAAGAAAGACAATAAAATGTTATTTTTGATTCGCAGGCTGAGGACAATTTCCTGCGAAAGGACAAACATAAAGAACTGCCCCGTTATCACTGCTATTTGCACGCATCTTTAGGAGAGGAGACTTGTACTGAATATCCAGGGGCGGGGACTTAGGTACATAGCAGATCAGTGATGTTCAGGACAGAGATGCACTGACTTGAGGCAGAAAGCATATGTGCTGCAGAATCATTCTCTTGATGCTGATCAAGTAGCTAGGAACACAGAGAGGTCAAGGAATTTTCTATAATCGTGAAATGGAATTTTCTCATCAAAGGAAATTTTCCCAGACATCCTCAAGAGGAAGTGATTAACACGAAAGGCTCAGCACTGGTGTATTATTAGACTATATGCAACCCACGAGTACATTATGACAGTATTTAATAAAGGGCTCCAACTGAACTCCAAGTCTGGAAACTCTTCTCTGCACAGTTACTGAGCATTAAGAGGAACTCCTGAGGTCAGGTGTGATGTCAAACTGGACAAGCCCACTAACTGGATGATTACAGCCCTATGGGATTACATACTTTGGTATGATGATAAGGAGCCCTCCAAAGTACCTTGAGTCTCTTAAAAATATGGTGATTGGTTTTTTACGATGGACATGGTGCACAGAATTCATTAGATGTGAGAGAAGGCACCTTTGAGGAGATCTTGCCCCCCAAATTCCTCTAGACTGGTCAGGATAGGGACTTGTCTTATAGGGTTCTGTGCTTCTTGTAGCTCAGTGCATTGGCTGTTTGTGCTCAATAAAATGTCTATTTTATAGTCATATTTCTATAGTCACATAGCTAGTTAGCAGAAGACCTAGTTTGGAAATGGCTTCCTAGGGTAATTCTCACCTTGTTTCACTGTAGTGCTGGCCTTTTTTCTGTGCTGTAGCCGTGTGGTTGTTGTTTGAGTTGTGTCTTGCTAGATGCGGGAGAGGTAATGAGCCATGTGATGTGGCCTTTGGTTCACATGCGGGGGCTGGTATTCTGAAATACTAACTTGGCCTTAAATGGGTACGCTTTGTCTTTGGTGCCATGGAAGTATGCCCCTCCTATCTCTCTTCTTTTTTTCTTTTGCATAAAGATGGCAGATTTCCTCT